ATCAGATGTTCTTCAGAGAGTGATTGGTTAAACTGTGGTATATTCATGTCATGGAATACTATTTTGCAATAAAAAAGAAGAAAATACTGATATAAGCAACAACCTGGTTGAAAATCCAGAGAATTATGCTGAATGAAAAAAGTCAACTCCAAAAGATCACATATTGTTTGATTCCATGTATACACATTCCTAAAATGACAAAATTTCAGACATGAAGAACAGACTAGTGGTTTTCAATAGGCTGAGAAGGAGTGGGGATGGAAGAGAACTAGGTGGAGTTATCAAACAGCACCATGAGGGATCTTTGAGGTGATGGAATTCTTCTGTGTCCTGACTATGCCAATGATTTTGTCCAAAGGTTTGGCAAGATGCTAACATTAGCGGGAACTAGGTGGGGGGGGGGGGTCAGTGTGACTGCTTACAGCTGCATGTAAACTGAGAGTCATTTCTGAATAAAAAGTTTAATATAAAAAGTTAATCAAACTAAATCTACTTCAGATTTGTTCCAGCATCTGAAATAACTATTGCTTCCAAGAATCCTCTCCTTGCTATAATTTTGTTAGCAGCCCAAAGGTTAAAGGTTTCTGAGTTAAGCTTAAGTGTCGCAAACATGTGGAGGAAATATACCTAGTATCCTGGGCCAAAAATCTGACAAAACAAACTTGCCTACAGAAATCTCGTCAAGAGACATGTATTAGCTTACAAAATAATTAACTGTTCAGCAAGAACTGATATGTGCTTGATAATGTTGCATATTAATTGAGGGGCTTTTGTTTTATTATTATTCAACTACCTTAAATTACTTATTTTCCTCCAAACAGCTATGGGAAATTTCTTTTCTTTAGCTAAAAAAATTCATCTGTAAAACACAAGGACATTTTCATTAATATTTAAACAAAAAGGCAAAGTTCCTTCACTTCCCATCTCAGTCTTCTTGCCAGAGAAAATCACTGTTGTTTGTTTGAAGTATTTTTTTCAGATTATTTTTTGTGTGTCTCCAGACATATGTACAGTTTTATGTCTGTGTGTCTGATATTTTTAAAAATAAAGAGAGGATCACATTGTTTATATTATTCAACTACTTTACCCCCACCCTGCTTTAAAATTGCTTGGAAATGTGCATGTTAGTATCCTTAGATCTAATTTAATTCATCCTAAGTGCCTTACAGTATTTTGTGGTATTGACACACTACAGTCTAATCCTTTGGCACTTAAGATGTTTCCGATTTTTTATATTGCAAGCAATGTAGACATTGGCGAAAAATCCTTGTATGTGTTTCCTGGAGCACATATAAGGCTGTTTCTCTAGGAGAGAAACCCAGAAGCAGGCCTGGCTTTACAGGTATGACCAGTATTGTTGATTGGCTGAGACCATACCCGTTCCCACCTATTCCCAATCATCTTCTTCTTTCCTGCTTCCAAAACAAAGGTTGGAGTGACTATGTGACCCAGTTCTGGCTGAGTAAACATCACCAAAAGTTTGCCGGGTGGTCCCTAGCAATATTTCTGCTTTCCAATTAAAAATAGCTGGACCTTCTTCCTTCCCTGAAGGTGGCTGTGGTGTTTGGAGGGGTGGTAGCCACATTACAACACGTAGAAAAGTTAAGGGAATCACAGTGATGTCAGCTGTGATACTAATGAGTTGCTGAACTAAAGCTATCTACAGTTACCTATAGACTGCTTGCCATGTGACAAGAATAAAGCTCTGTCAGGTTAAGCTGCAGTGTAAGTCTGGTTTTCTATTACTTGCAGCCAAATATGTTTCTAAGAGATTCAGTACTCAATTATTCTCTAAAAAGTTTGTACTCACTTCATTCTCTCACAAAAGTCTGTAACAGTATTCCTTTCCCAAAACTTTTGTTTACTTTGAATGGTGTCAGTCATTTACATGTTTAATCAAGTTGACACAGGGAAAAAATTTCACAGGAAGTAAAGCGTCATTTCATACATTTATTGGACATTCAAATTTCCTCTTCTACAATTTTTCTTGTTCATATCTCTTGACCACTTTTCTGCTGTATTGTTAGACTTTTTCTTATTGATCTGCAAGGATAAATTTCCAGATAATAAAGCAGCCTGGGCTAAACTCACAGCGAAAACTGCCTCTGTATCTTTATATCATCAGTCAAGTCAAACACGATTACAAAACAAATCTTCGGTGACAGGCCACACCTCTGACAGGGACAATTATCTCTGAGTGGTGCACCACCACGTGGCAAAGTGTCAAAAAGTAATTCAACTTGTGCAAACAACCGGGGCCCCAGCCCATGCTCACTACTTCCTCTGCAACCTGCACCTAAAGAAAGGCATATGCAACAGTAACACGCTGGTGAGCTAGGCAGAGTCTTTAACATGCTTCATCTCAGTTAATCCAAATAAAACCCAAAAGGCAGTCATTATCAACCCTATTTTAAGAACAAAAAATAAAAGTACACTTTTAAAACCAAGAGTTTCTTTCCTATCACAAAATCTTACATTTCAGGCCGCATAATTAAAACCAAAACGATCAACAGTTCACCTAAAACTTGAGTGATACAAAATCCATTATGCCTGTCTAAATATATCAACAAGCTTAAGCAAGAAACATTGCTAAACATATTTAGTGGTTTATGAGTCTGAGGAAGGTATCCCAAAGCTTGGTTCTACAGTTTATTGCCACACGATAGTTAACCCAAATTATTCTGTTTTAAAGTGAGAAACTAAACTGAGTAGGATTTTAATGCTTCAACAAGAAGCACTGACTAGCTAGCCACCAACCCCACCCTCGAGAGGCAGGTAAGGAATTCCTCTCATCAGTTATCAACCAACCAATCTGACACTAGAAAACAAACAAAATAAGCAGTTAAAGATAATACAAGATTGTCATGAAAAGAAACGTAAACAAGTTGAATGAACAGGCACCATCCTTGAATGTAACAATCACCATCCTTGAATATTTGTACCTGGTTTGGTTTTTGGATAACTGTCTTCACTTTTAAAAGTTTAGGAGCTAGAGGAAAAGAGAAAGTTGGGGAGGCGCCTGCTTCTGCAATCAGGTGAGGAGCAGTAAGAAGGCTGAAGTCCTGACAAATATTTCCCTGTTTTCTGCCACACCTCTCCTCACAAGAGCCGTGGATTCTCTCTCTGGCACAACATCACACAGAGCACTCAGTCCACACTGGAGAAGCAGAGGCATCAAATCTCCTCGATGCCTCCAACCAAACTGTCCCGAGGGGACATGCCCAGCCCAGGGACAGCAGGCCAGGGTCCCAGGAACTGACAGCCCCAGCAGTAGGAAGGTGAGACCAACCGAGGCGCTGCCCACTTGGGCCCCAGAGAGACATGGAGATTCATCTGGAGCAACCTCCTCCCGTTTTTTAGCCCATCTGTAAGGCACAGAAAAATGCCTGGGGGGAGTTTGATTTTTAATTTTACACAAAAGAAAACAAGTCTGCAGACACACAGTGTTTACGGTCTATGGAAAGTGCAAATGAGCTGACAAATCGCCAATCCGAGAGGTGACTGGTGGGTTCTGGTTTTCCCGGTGGGCTTGCCCAGGGATTCCTGCTTGGGGAGAGGTGATGGAGTGTTTCCCTCCACCCCCACGCCACTCCTCAGTAGAGCCGCACACCTCACCCAACTGGCACAGCAAGGTTAGTAACACATGTTAAGAAATCTGACTCTTTGCCAAAGTCAAAGGCCAGGCTTGGAGAGGGGAGGGGGAAGCATCCCAGTGGGCTGCTCCTGACCTCCGTGCAGGCGTTTGCCAGGCGCACAGCAGGGAGGTTTAGTCACCAGAACAAAACAAGCCAGATTCCTTGGCCCTTCAAAACTGTCCAAACCTCAGGCCAGCTAACTAGAGGGACGGTAACCAAGGCATGTGAGAGAGGGGGACAGCAGGTCTCCAAGAGGGGCAGGGACACAGAGGAAAAGAGCAATGAGGGGTGGGTGATGGGGCCAAAATGTGCTGGAATCAAACCAGGTGCTTCAGCACAGTGCCAGCTCTCCTGGGAGGGACACACCGGGCACCCAAGGGCTCCTCCAAAGGTCCGTTAGAGCTGGGCCCTAAAAGGGGACCCCAAGCCCTGTAGATGCACCCAACAGGTGCCAACGAGACGGCAGAGTCAAGCAGGGGGCTAGCTCAATGCTCCCCCCACCCCACTTGCACAACCAACTAAACACACGCACGCACACAGCCTCACTGCCGGGCGCACACACTGCACACACAGGCTCATGGTCAGGCACAGCACACACACAGTCTTCCTAGGTGTAACTGCACACGCGCACACACACACACACACACACACACACACCATCCTGCCAGTCCACGGGCACAACATACTCAACATGCCAGTTCAGTGCTGTAAGCACACAGTCATCTTCACACACGGTCAGCCTCACACACAAACTCTGTAGGGAATAACACAAACTCTGCAGGCTCGGGCTCATGCACACACACACAACTCCACAACCTCCTAGTCAGGTACACACAAACCTCTACGTAAGGTACACATGCACACTCACAGCCTGTCAGGAAAACCGGTGCTCACGCACCTTTAACATCTCTCAGTTGGCCTGTGCCTACCCACAGCATGCAAGTGTACACAGGCAAGTGCACACACACGCAATCCGATAGACACATACACTCAACCTATCCGTTAAGTGCACACATAGCCTTTCAACCTCTGCTCCCTGTATACACACGGCGCACACACTTCCAACCTGCCAGAAGCACACGCGGGCTCACAACTTCTCCGTCGGCGTGAGCGCACACACAAACTCCTGGCCCGCAGGGTCACCCCCACATCACCGCCACCCGGGGAAAGGCGCACGCCCCCTCCCGCGCCCGGAGCGTCGCGGGCACACTCCCCCTCCCGCCCGCTCGCCTCCCTGCTGCGCACCCCGAACCCACGCACCCCTCCCCCAGCCCGCGCCAGCGCCCGGCAGCCAACTCCGGCCGCGCGGGGAGTGCCCACGCCCCCGGCCTGCGCCCGGCCCGCCCGGCCTGCGCCCCTCCTTACCTTTCTCGCCGGCGCCCGGGGCCCGGCCCTCGTCCTCCTTGGGGTTGGTCACCTGGGTGATGATGGCCGGGCCGTCCATGGGTGCGCGGCGCGGCGGCCGCCCGCCGGCCCGGCCCCCCGGCAGCCAGGCGCACGGGCGCGCGGCGCGGGGGGCGCGCGGGGCCGCGGGCCGGGGGGGCGCTCGCCGCCGCCGCCTGGGCGCGCCCGCCGCCCGGCCCCGCGCTCTGTGAGAGGCGGCTCGGGCTCGCGCCCCCGCTCCCGCCGCCGCCGCCGCCTCTGGGCTGGAGCGGCCGCCGCCTCGTCACCATGAACCCCGGAGCCGCGCCCGGGAGAGCCGCGCAAGGGGAGGCGGAGCGGGAGGCCGGGCGCCGCGGGAAGCGGGAGCGGGCGAGGGGGAAGGAGCCAGCGAGGAGCGAGGGCGGGCGGGAGAGAGGGAGGGAATGAGGGAGGGAACGAGGGAAAGCGGGAGGGCGGGCGGGTGGGTGTGTCCCGGCCGGGGGACCGGCCTCCGCCGCCGGCGCTGCCGGCCAGCCCCGGGGGGAGAGGGGTGCGGGGTGAGACCGAAGCGCTGGGTGGAGGGCGGGAGGGGTTCTTGGGCAGACGGTGGCGGGGGGATGGGCTTCGGGTGTAGGGGCTTCCAGAGGGGTCCTGGCGGTAGATGTAAGGGCCGAGGTGTGTGGGGGTGTCAGAAGGCCTGGGAGGATGAGTGGGGTGAGCGGCCTGGGGTGTGAAGGCCTTGAGGAGGAGTCTGGCAGATGAGTGCGCTGAGGGGTGTCTGGGGCTAGGCAGAGGCCCGCGGGGGTGCGGGTAGGGCCTCGGGGTCCGAGGAGAGATCGCACGATTGGGAGAGTGAGGAGGGCCCTTGGAAGGGTGTTTACCGGGAGGAGGAAGGAAGAATAGGAGGTAGATGCGAGGGATGGGGATGGGGGTCCCGTGAGGGTGTCTTGGGGGAAGTGCTGGGTGAGGAACATCCCGGCGCGGGAAGCGAGGGGTCAGACGCACGGCGCGGAGGGCAGCGGTTTGCGAACAGAGGCTGCTAAGGGTGGTCCCTTACACCGAGGCGGCCCCGCGGAGAGGTTCGGGGCGCTGGTGCGAGGGAGAGCTCGGGAGTGTGAGGAAGGTTCGGAGGGACACAAGGGTGCGCGGGGCGGGGGTGACGGTCCCGGAGTGTGGGGAATTCCGAAGGGTCGGGAGAGAGTAGGAGTTGGGTGGGGGAAGGGTCCGTGGACAGGGCTGGAGGCTCCAGGCGTGGGATGTCTGAGGAACCCACTTCAGCATCGGCCTCGAGGGCCAGCGTGCTGGGCTGTGGTTCTTCGGGGACCAACCTCCTGGCACGTGGCGGGGGTGGGGAGTGTAGGCGTCAAGCGGGACCTGGGCAATGGGCATTTCCGGGTGCTGTGCAAAAAGGGGCCCAGCCCGGCGAGCGAGTGGAGGGCTGAGGAGAGGAAGGGGCCTGTGGCTGCCGAGCTGAGCAGGGACTGTACTTCTGAAGAGCAGGCAGCCACTGTCAGGCCTGGGGCGAGGGCCAGAGCGCTGGCATGAAGGCAAAGTGCCCCCTCACACTTGGAGGGCCCGGGGGCCGTCTCGCTCCCGCGCCTTCGCCTTGCAACTTGGAAGCGGCGCTGGAAGACCAGTATGCCAGTGGGCGGGGCAGTGCCGCAGGAGGGCGGGCCCGGGAGCGGGGCGGGAGCGCTCGTGCTTGCTCTCCACCAATCAGGAGGATCTGGGAGGGCCCTCGGAGCGTGACGTAGGTGGGCAAGGCTGAGTGGGCGAACTGCGGCGTGGAGCGCCCTGCGCGCGCACTTCACGTCCATCCTCGTCGTGGCTTAGAGGAAGCCAGGCCGGTAGGACGTTTTCTCACACCACGACCCCTGGAACCCGGAGCTGGTTGCAGGCCGGTCGCCTGCTCATCGGGGAAAGCAACTAGCCTCCTCTAAGTTTTCAAGTACACTTCCCAAAGCGCCTCTGGCAAAGGGCAGCCAGCTGACCTAGCGGGTCTCTTCATCAGGTGGAGCCCAGATAGGGTTCCAGTGTGGGAGACAGTCCTGGGACAGGGGCCCTGTAGCCGAGGCAGGTGAGAAAGCATTTCAGGGGAGCTACCTAAAAAGGTAGTGGGGGGCGGTGAATTTACCCAAAAAGGTAGTGGGGGGTGGTGAATTTGCCCCCAAATCCAGGACCTCAAGTTACATCTGGGTTTTGAGCTTGTGAGTAGAGCCTGGTGCCAGCTGCCTCGTGTGCTCACGTGTGAGTAAGCTGCTCTTCTGGCAGCTCCTTTGGGACTGCAGTGAATTGCCTGGGGCAGCTGAGCCATGAAGGTTGAAGCAAAGTGCCCTTCTGGATAGGAAGGCAAGCCTTAATGTAAGTAACCCAGGCTCCAGCACATGCCTGGCCTAACCCTTCCAAGGGCAGAACAACTTAGGGCCCCATGGCACTGAGAACTTCCCTTGTCCCCACTTATAATGCTCTTCTCTTTGTTCTGAGGTTATGGCTGGCCCAGGGGCTGGCAAATTAAAATGTTCTCTGGATGCAGAAAAGGGAACCCTCCTACACTGTTGGTGGTAATGTAAATTGGTAGAGCCACGATGGAGAACAGTATGCAGGTTCCCTACAAAAACCAGGCTTGAGATTTCCCTGGTGGTCCGGTGGCTAAGACTCCACACTCTCAATGCAGGGTGCCTGCTTTTGATCCCTGGTCTGGGAAGTAGATGCCGCATGATGCAACTAAGAGTTCACATACCACAACTAAAGATCCCACATGCTGGAACTAAGACCTGGCGCAACCTCCCCCAAAATAGAGTTGCCATATGATCAGAAGTCCCAACCCTGGGCCCATATTCCAACAAAACTTGCACCCCCTGTGTTCACGGCAGCACTGTTGACAACAGTCAAGACATGGAAACAAATCTAAATGCCCATAGACAGATGAATGGATAAAGAAGGTGTGCTATATATATATATATGTACAATGAAATATTGCACAGCCATAAAAAGAATGAAATGCCATTTGCAGCTGCTTGGATGGACCTAGAGATTGTCATACTAAGTGAAGTAAGTCAGACAGAGAAAGACAAGTAGCATGTGTTACCACTTACATGTGGAACCTAAAACATAATACAAAGGAACTCACCTATGAAGCAGATATAGACCCACATTTATAGAGAACAGATTTGTGGTTGCCAAGAGGGAGTGCGGGCAGGGGAGGGAGAGATTGGGAGTTTGGGACTAGCAGATGCAAGCTATTACATATAGCACAGATAAACAACAAGGTCCTGTTGTATAGAACAAGAAACTATAGCCCATATCCTGTAATAAACCATAATGGAAAAGAACATGAAAAAGTATATATACATATGTGTGACTGAATCATCCTGATGTACTAACACAACATTGTAAATCAACTATATTTCAATAATATATATACATATACATGCATATATATATATATAACCTAAGGAAGATGATAGGGCTTTGGATGGACCTGTCCTTTGACTTCTAGTAATACTTATGGAATAGAACAAACTGAAACTTTAAAAGAACAGAATACACACACACACACACACACACACAAATGTTCTGTGAATTGAATTTTTAAAAACCATTAAATTCTAAGAGGTCAGAGAGGGATCTTCCAGAGATAGCTGTGTAAATTGATATAGTTCTACAGTTCTTAGTATATAAACACAGATCAGCATCCCACTGCCTGGTTAATGAAGCATCCCATTATCCAGGGCAAGGTGATATGAGCATGTGGACTCACATGAGGTAAGGTCTGGATTCCTTTTGGGTGGGGGACTGTCAGAGGGTCTGCTTGCTTAGCTGAGGCTGGGAAAGAGCTCAGAGCCCAGGGGTTTAGGGTCAAAGGGAGTAATTTTTATACACAGATTATCTTCTGTCTGGCCTTTCCTGTCATATAGATTTTCCCCAGGACCCTCCAGTAACAATTTTCCCTTACCTGCATCCTCCACCTTCCTCAGCTTCCTGAGACCACCTGAAAAATAGAATAAAAAACCGGTCTTTACCTTCTTTATCTCAGGTTCAAGCAAGAAAATAACTTGTTTCACTCCTTCTCCTCTATATTCTATTCATTTAAAGTTTCAATATATTATTTATTTCATATGTATGAATAAAAATCAAAGGACAAGTTCACCCAAAGCGCTATCATCCTCTTTAGGTCAGCCTATTTTCCATATCCTTGCCCATATGTTGACATAATTTTTATGTAGCTATAAAAAAACCATGGTTAAAATTATAAGGTGAGCATTTTTCCATTTGGTGACATAATCATCATAACTACCATTCTACATGATTGCATAATACCTCACTGAATGAGTCTTACATAATATCTTGGTTTTTCAGATGAAGCAAAGATTTCAGAATTGCTACTGGGACAACTGATAAGCCATGAAGAGAAACTACATATTGACCTTGGTACCTTATAAGATACCAAGATTGATCACTGAATTAAATATAGAAAATTCATATGTAAATATACCATAACAAATAGTGGGTTTTTTAAAAATCTTGGATGGTAAAGACCTAAGAGAAACAAAAACTTCAGATTTGACAAAGGATAAGATCGATACATTTGGCATCATTTGTTCATTCAATGAATATTTATTGAGTACCCACTATGTGCTGCTAGGTTCTGTTCTAGACACAAGATCTCAGAGTAACACAAAATGACGGTTGGGGAGCTGGATTATGATACTCACACATCAGTACTATCTAGCAGCTGTCCTGGGGGCCTTAAGCCCCCAGCACTTTGGGCTCTCCAGGAATGGGAGAGAGCAGCCCCAGTGACCCAAGGACAGGTGTCAGTCATCGGAGGCAAAGCACATCCAGCCCCAGAGAGGAAGGCAGTAAAGAAACAGTAAAAGGGCTCTAAGAGGACAGTGCACCCAAATCTTGGGTCAGTCACATTTTCCAAACTCCTATCATGCAGTGTCCTTGCATTATTTAATATTTTTCTTTCAATTCACTTGATTTAAATAGAATTCTTTAAACAGAAAAAATTGGTGGATAAGATTTTTTGAGAGACAAATAGAAAATGTAGGAAGGACCACCATGGCCCTAAAAAGAAAGAGTTGCACAGACTGAGGGGCAGAGATAGATACCGAGGTTTTGGGGGGATGGGCAGGAGACCGGGCCTGGTGAGCCTTGGCCCTGAGCTGCAAGCAAAGAGCAGGAGGGCAGGTGGGAGTGTTGGAGGGGGCAGCCTGGCCTGGAGTCTCTCGGAGATTCCCGGGGAGAGCCCCAGGGTGGGAGGGGGCAATTGGACCAGGAGGTGTGGGATGAGGTGACACTGCTCTGAGGCTGCCCTTGTCAAAGGAACACTGGGTGTTGAGATCAACGTGATGTGGTGATTTGAAGACAGGGGGACTGGGGAAGGGTACAGAAGGAGTGTCCGCAGTAGAGAGAACAGCAGCATGCTTCCAGGCTTAGAGGTGGCGGAGAGCACGCGTTGGGGAAAGTCTGCAGTGGCTGGAGTTTTCACCTCTGGTGATGCGTAAAGCAGAGTCTTATAACGCAGGAGAGGCACCTGTGCTTTACTCTGGGGACTGTGGGAATGACATGTTCAGATATGTGTTTAGAAAGTTCCTATTGGCCAACAGGGTCGGGGCAGCACAGGGAGGCAGGGAAACCCACGGATGTTGCTGCATGAATCCAGAAAGGCATGGAGGGCAGTGTGCCTGGATCTGCCATTCCCAGCCTGCCCCTACTCTGCTTTGTGGTTTTGAACCTTTGCCCCCCAGGCTCTGTTATTGGTCTGCTTTTTCTCTTCTCTGTGGGCATCTCAGTCTCAAATTTTGTCTGTCTGTTACTTAGTTTCTTGTACCTGTTTTTCTGTGTCTCTGTCTTTCTCTGATTCTAACTTTTCTGCTTCTGGCTCTGTCTTCCTGTTTCCTTTTAGGAGCAGAGCCTGAGGGTGCCAAGTCTTCTGTTGGGAAAGAAGTGGAAGTGGGATCTGGGCAAAGATTCCTGATGGTCAGTCAAGTGGATATGAACCTGAGCCCACCCACGATCTCTCTCTTGGGGTCACCTTGGGACTGAATGAGGTTTATCCAGGCTCCATTCCTTCTCTCATACTGTGAACCAGGCTCAGAGTTTGAAGTCAGTTCCCCAAAGGCCTGCTCTAACTTAGGACAAGCTACACCCACAGAGGTCCTTTTATATATCCTCCAGGTGTATACTGGGTGCCCTCAGTGAGACAGGCTTGGGCCAAATGCAGTAGACAAAGCATCCTCAAGGAGCTTGCAGCCTGATGGAAGAGGCAGAGGACTAATCAGGGAATGGCAGTCCAGGGGGTCTCCTCAGAGGAGATGATGCTAACAACGTCATTTTTGAAGCCTTCAGATTCTGGGCAACAGGACTTTTCCATCCATAGTGTCCACAGAGAAGGCTGCATATGAAGACCAGGAGGACATAATGATGAAGGAAAAGATTATGGTCTTGAAGGCCAGGTTGAGTTTGGGCTTTAACCTGTGGGTGATCTGAAGCCATTGGTACTTGTTGAGCAAGGCAGAGGCATCATTTAAGAAACTAGTTTGGATCTGTAGGTTGAAGTGAAAAACAACTCAAGCCAGCTTAAGCAACAATGGGAGGGGGACTCTGTTGGCTCACAGAACTAAACCACAGTACATGCCGGGGCTAGACTAGTCTGGGGCAGATCCCCTGAATGTAGGAGCTGGAGGTCCCCAGGGGGAGGATGTGAGCTCTTGCTGCCCGCACCCAATCACCTGGAGGATCAAGGAACTGGGGAGCCCCCAGGCTTCCTTATGCCCCAAGACACCCTGTCTATTCCTCACTCAGTTTG